TAAAAATAAACATACTGATTCTGACAAACTACAAATTAATTAACTGAAGTTTTCCCTTTTCAGAATCCACCAGTAACGATTACCCTCAAGTTTGCTGAGTGAAGTCATTATACTATGAGAGACAGTGATATTAAATGGAAACAATGATATTAAATTCAATCTTCCATGCCTTTCAGTCATTCTAATTGCTAAAGACCACTTGCATTAGTAGTGTGCCGTTCATTTTGTTTTGTGATGCACCAAATACAGAACTTTTGAACCAGACAAGTAAAGATAATATCATATATAGTTTTCACCCATCTTCAGCATGATTCATATGGAGAAATGCTTGCCATTACAAGTAAAAGTGCAGGCAGTACCCATACTGAAAAAAATAAACGTCAATCATATAATCTGGGACAACCTGAAAGTAACATTCCAGCCACAGACCTAACACACTATATTTCAAATAATGAGCATATTCAGCATATGTAAACATGGAAATATTCCAAAATCTGAAACCGACAAACAAAAGGCACCGAACCAAATTCAGTACTTCCAACAAACTACAGAAATTCCATCCAGACAGACAGGTAAAGATACATCCTGAGATTATATTTTTCACCGATCCTCAGTATTAATTTATATGGAAAAATATTTGTCTAATACAAGTTAAAGTGCATGACAAATTCCCATAGTAAACCTAATGGCCAGAAATTAAAGAGTTAATACGTAAAATTTCAGGGACAAATAGCAGGACAAATATTCGAGCCACAAGCTTAGCTGCACCACATTAATGTGACCATATTCATCCTATTCTAGAACGAATGCTCACACACCAGAAATTTTACCAGAAATTCCCTTCTCCTCATCCCTTTCTGCCCCGTCACCATTCTTGCTATCCATCTTCTTGGACAATGCCGTCTGGTTCGAAGCACTCCCGATTGCTCCAGTGACCGACTGCTGATAGAGAACCCCTCCAACAATAGTCAGTAGCAAACATAGCAGACCAAAGGGAGTCGCATGCTTATCCCAAATCAGCACATTAATGGCAACAGTCAAAAACTTGTTCACGACACCTGCAACAGTGAATGCCGTTGCTGAGATAGCCTTTCGGGCCGCAAAACCAAAGAAGCTGATGAGCAGCCCGAACACACAGGACAAGGACACTGCGAAAAATGCAACGGGCCCAAACAAATCACTCAGGCCCGATGAAGCCAGCGCTTCAAACACGTCTTCATACTCTCCGGTCAGGATCCAGAACAGGGGTGACATCATCAACGACAAAAGATTATTGTAGAACACGAATCCCCAGGTGTTGAAGCTGAGATTGGTGACAATGTGCTTTATGTAAACCATATCGGTGGTTATAGTCACGAGATATGCAAAGGCCCACGAGTAAGCTGTCAGCGTGAACCCATTATCTGTGGCCACATACCCAATCGCACCCCCTAAAATGACCAGCAGCGAGAAAAACGTCAGTTTCGAAGGCCATGGCTGCTTCCGGAAGAAGGTGTCGGCAACTGCCACGAGGAGTGGGGTCAAGGATCGGAAGACTATGAAAGTGTCCACATTGGCGTGGCGGAGGAGATTTGTGTTTGTGAAGATGGACAGGTAAAAGAGGAACGCTGCCGGAAGGAACTTCTTGGCTGTCTCCACAGTGAAGGGATCGTGGTGCAAAAACCCGAATTGTCCAAGGATCCAGACGCCGAGGGCCGAGGTTAGGTATTGAAGGGCGGTCAGTAGACCAGGGTAATTGAAGTTGGTAATGGCGAATTTGTTGATGACGGTGAGTAAGCTGGAACAAAGAGCGTAGCCTATGACGAGGCTGCTGGTGGCGTAGTATTGCTTGGACGCCTCGAGCCGGATCGAGGCCATCGGGGTTTATTTTAGCCAAGTTTTAAACGTTTTTTGCTTGAAATTGAGCTGAAACCAAAATGAAATCAGGGTAAATGGGGGAAGATGCCATGATCCGCACAAAATAAGCGGGAAAAGGGAAATTGAATACTGGTGAACATCAGCACTGAAAGTGAAACTCAATGAACCAATACAAAAACAAAATGCCTGGATTCAGAATTTAAAGAAATCAGTGAGCTGCTTGAGGCTGATGAAATCAAAAATCAGAAAATGAATTACAACCAGGCACCGGAAGCAAGAATGTATAATAGAAAGCAAATGAAATTTAGGAAGGTTTGGCGGGGGAGAGTAAAAATGGAATGGGGAAAATGGTAAATTAAACGAACACAGTAATGATTATTTTGTCACTTTTCTACCTTTTATTATGATTCTAGTTGACGTTTTCACCTTTTATCTTCTTTTTACATTTCTCTTTCAACGTGTGGAATATTTAGGGCATGTTTGTTTATCAATTATTTCACTCACTTTTAATTCATACTCAAAATTTAACTCAACTTTAACTTAAACTCACTATCTTTAATATTATTCATATAATTAATAAATACAACACAATCATTCTTACACATCACATCAACTTTAATTCACTATTCATCCACTCACATAATTTTAACTACCTATCATTGTCAATCATTTTCAATCATTTATCTCATACTTTTACATCAAATCAATTTAATTATTTTATTTTAAATATTATTTTAATATATTTTTAAAATCCCACTAATAACTTAGCATATCACCTTTTGCAAAATTAACTCTAGTTAACCAAAATAACTCATTTTGGACGAATTATTTTATAAACAAGCGACCCCTTAGAGTTAACCTATACATGTTTTATTAATTCTTTAATTAAAGAGGATCACTCCCCACTTACCCCCTAGTCCCCTAGACATGTTTTATGGATTACCAAAGAATGCATTGTTTTTAGCACTATAATAATAATAAGAATAATAATATTTAAATTGATTTTAATAATATTATAATAAAAATAATAATAATAATAATTTTTTGTCACGTGTGTTTATACCGTGTGAATTATTTTATAACACAAATTCTTGTGTGAAACAGTCTACCCATAATATTTTTTTTTTAAGAAATATGCATACTTATTCTATAGATATTATTTTTTATGTTATTTTTGAGTATGTCATATGAAAGCATGCATATTTATTAAAAAGTATTACTGTCTATTAAACCTGAACACCAACATTATATCAATTTAGCATAAGATCTTACTTTTTATCATCACAAAAAATAATAATTTAGATCCGACACTACATATAAAATAGTATAATATATCAAAGTTGTTATGATTCTTTTGGATTTTTATCATAAAGTTATACAAATTAGTTTAGTTGCCAGCATGCAAATGCCAAGCAAATAGTAGCAAAATTATGACATATCTTTGACAAATCGACCTTGATCTATTTTGGAAATTAGTCCTACGTTACGATATTTTCTCGAGGAAAAAACAAGGGGCTGCAACCAAATACACGTAGCATCCCAACAAATTATATTATTAATTTTTGTAAATTATTATTATTATTATTATTATTATTATTATTATTATTATTATTATTATTATTATTATTATTATTAGCTATATTAGATTTCAAAATTCTAAAAATTCATTATCAGGCCAAGTATTTGTAAATCTTTTTAAAATGCCTTGAACATAATGTTACTTCTACTAATTATTATATATTATACATTCTTAAAAATTCAAGAATAATATATATATATATGTATATATATATATATATAAGTGCACTCAAATGAGAATGAAGCACAATGAAAGAAATAAGAAGGATTATGAACCACCGGATTCATCCCATCAATGGCCTGATCAAGTCAAACTTTAATAAATAATGGTCAATCACTAATGGCAATATAGTAAATAAATAGTAATATTTCATCAAATAATATACCTAAAGGGTAGTGTCGTAATTTCCCCATACCTACCAACCCTAATATTTATATCACATTAAAACACACACAAAACACACACCACTCACGCACACACTCTGCGCCCACACACACACACACACACATGAGAACAGCCCGCCTCTGGTCTCCGCCTTGACTTCGCCGCTAGACGCCAACTGCGACGCAGGAGACTCCGGCCGTACATCCGCCGCTCGTCGCCGATCGCGACAGAGGAGAGCCTCCGTCGTGCCTAGGCAACCAATCTCGTTGGCGGGGATGGCCGCGGTGAGGGCGGCCTGACGGTGAATCCGGCGGTCGGGTGCTGTCGGCGGTGAGCTGTTTCTGAACAAAGAGTCGATGTTCTTTTTTTTTTTTGGGATTTGGTCTTGATTTGGAGAATTAGATAGTCTTATAATATATACATATATCAAAAGTTCAAAATTGCAATTTAGTCCCATAAGAGTTGCAATTTTGAACTTTTGATATGTATATATTAATATTTGAGGACAATTTATAATTTAATGAAAGCCTAATTAATGCACAATAATGATACATAAAATGCACAATATTGTGTATAGATGTGCACTTTAAAAAAAAAATAATACTATCATCTTTATACGATTTTATTAAATACTCGATATTTTTTTATAAATGAATTGCACAATATTTTGTGTAGCTATGCGATTTAAAATTAAAAACATATAATCGTATTAAATTATAGAAGTTCAAATCGAAAATTTTGGTTCTTTTAATTTTGATCCCTATTTTATATTAATATCAATATTTTATATAATCTTGGACTTTTAACAAAAAATTAAATAAAATATTAAATATTTAATTCAACCGGTTACTTTAAACAACCTGAATAATATAAATAATTTATTATACATACTATACATATGTATTTAGTATTTTAATATCTATATATAATATTTTATATAATTTTTTCGTTAAAATGTACAATAATAAAATGTCGAAATCAACATTGTATGCTCCAACGTAACATACAATTAAACATACATAAAAAAAAATATAATGTGCAATCTGACAGTTATCAATGTGCAATTCATCTAACACTATGGTGCACGGTGTCGGACATTATTGTGCATATTGAACTGATCGAACTTTTGTCTCAAATCGAATGAAACCGAACATGATTACTTGGTTTATTCAGACAATTAACTAAAATATCCCAATTAACTGAAATAATTTATTTTTTTACATTAATTTATATTTAATATGTTAATAATTTTATTTATTATTTTATATTATTGCGGTTGAAGAAATATAATATAAAAAATAAGTGCAAGCACACAAACACAAACGTGCGTCTATTATAACATTAGTGTGCAGTGAGCGGGGGTATTTTTTATGTTTATTTCAATTTCAGTAAAACTTATTAATGTGTATTTTAATTAACTTAAATGTGCATTTATCAAATTACTTATATAATAAACCATATATTTTAATATTTATAATTGTTCATGTTATATTTTATAAAATAAAAAAGATATGCATAGATCAAATATAAATAATATTTATATAGTTCGGTTGGTTTTGTTATTTATTCATTTATTTATCTTATAAATAAATTTGTAATCAAACTGAAATAACCAAAACTTTTATGTTTTTTAAAATGCTCATTGTTATGCTAATGTGCATTATCGAACAATTTAATGGGCACTAGATCCATTACTATTGTGCAGTTCGATAATCACTGATGTTCATATCGTTAAAAACTATTGTGTACCCTCGGTATAAGTTTTTTCATGTACAAATCCAAATTCACAATGAACCTAGTTAAATGAATTTTCTTGAATGGGCAAAATAATTTTTAATTATATTATAAAAAAAATTATTTATTAGACAATATTTTAGTTTATTATTTTGTATTATTTTAATATTTTATAGTATTTTTATTTATATTTATCATTTTAATATAAGTGTGGAAAAAAAAATGAAAATAATATTTTTTATTAAATTTATATAAATTATAGACTTAGCCCATGGATTGAATAGAAATTTCATAAAATTCTAAAAAATTGCAATCAAGTCCCTTGAATTTATCAAATTCTCTAATGCATGCCCCATTTATTCAAACTAATTTTGTTATCTCCATCTCAATCCCCTTCACCAGGGCAAAAATTCAAAATTGGTCCTATAATTTGGCAACTGTCTAAAAAACCACCCCGATATTGACCAATTTCAATTTAGGTCCTATAATTTGTCGATTTCATCAATTTTGGTCCTTTTTTATTTGCCCCCTGGATTAAAAAGTGATGTGGCATGAAAAAAGGACCAAAATTGATGAAATCGACAAATTATAGGACCAAAATTGATGTGCCACGTAGATCATAATCACGCCATGTAACATTAAAAATCTGACACGTCATGCCACGTCACTTTTTAATCCAGGATGCGGATAAAAAGGACCAAAATTGATGAAATCGACAAATTATAGGACCTAAATTGAAAGTGGTCAATATCGGGGTAGTTTTTTGGACAGTGGCCAAGTTATAGGACCAATTTTGAAATTTTGCCCCTTCACCAGCATTTCCTGAAACAATCTCGGCTCTCACCGTGAAGGCCGATTTGGCAATATCCGGTCGTCCATCTTGCCGCCGGTTAACAGTCCGCCGTTAACTTCTCGTCCATCACCTCGTCGGCGGGCGGACAGAGGAGGTAGACGACACAACTAATTTCCAAACGGGCCTGCGGCGCTGCTTTTGGAGCTAGAGCGGCGCCGGATTGACGCTGCCGGAGAGGCATAAAGCCGTTTCTTGCGGCCGCTGGAGATGCAGAAGCTGTCGCTTGAGGCACCTGCGTGCGGTGGCCGACGGTGATGCTGTACCCCCGTAGAACGTCGTCGTAGCCGGCACTGCTGATGTGGCCGCCGGAGAGACAGAAATCAGCCTTCTAATTCCGCCGAAGATGCAGAAGACGACGCTTGGCGGCGCCTACATGCGGTGGTTGATGGCGATGCTATACCTCAGGGGCATGTCGTCGTAGCCGACGCTGCTGTTTTGGCCACTGACGACGTCGACGAGCGGACGTCGGCGAGTGAATTGTGTCTGAAATTTCTTTCTTTTTTCTTTTTCTTTTTTTTTTTCCTGTTGCAGGCTTGAAACCCGTGAGAGGAGGAGAGAGAGACACATGTGGGTGTGTGTTTTGTGTGTGAAAGAGGATGTGCTGGTGGGTCCCACNGGTATTTCTTATTTCTTTTATTGAGAACCATTCTCACCGGAGCGCATCCATATATATGTATATATATATATATGTGTGTGTGTGTGTGTCTATACATTGAAAATACAAAATATAGACCGTAGATGCATTCCTCGTTATATTGATCTTTACGAAACAAAAACAACTAATTTGTGATCTCATTTGTCTCATCGCGTGTTGATGATTAGATCATTTTACATCATGGTGGATTCATGCATTTTAACGAGCAGTCTCTTTTGTTTATTCATCTACTTTGTCCATATATCGTTATTGTGGAACTGAATTTTAGCTTAAGAGACCACTTAACCTGCGATTGGATATTAAAAAACCGAATATTTATGGTTGGTAATTTTTTTAAAACTTTTTAACTCAAAAATCAACTCAAATTTAGTGCAACTCATCTCTCTTCAATATTATTAATATAAATAAATAATATCATTCTCATGCATCACATCAACTTTAATTCACTACTCAGAGGATCATTATTAAGGGGTTTCACAAGGTTTATAAACCTCGCTTTTAGAGGTTTATCAATAAGAGATGGGGTTTCAAGTTTACATTTCTAAACCAGGTTTACATTCTTATATTAGAAATTAGAAATTATTATGATATAAATTAGAATTGATATGTTAGAACTTAGAAATTGTTATGTTGTAAATTAGAATTGATTATCTGATAAATTAGAATTTATTATGTTAGAACTTAAAAATTTTATATTATAAATTAGAATTTATTATCTTTTAAAATTATTAACATCGTAATATTTTGCAGGTGCCATTCGAAGATTTTGGAGGAGACGGTATTGATTACACTTCTGCTTTCATTACAGAGGAAGTGTTTGGTAGTAATACAGAAGCTATTACATGGGCAAAGGAAATGAAAATTATATTTGGTTTTGAATTGGTCATTTCTTCACACAAAAAAGAACGAAGGATGAAGGTGTTGAGGTGTTCGCGAGGTGAACATTACAGAGGCAGTTTAGGAGATTTAGATCGAGCTGCTGCCAGACGTTCAAAGAATAAAGCGTGCAAGTGCCCATTTCGGATAGCAGTTGTAACGCCTCGTTTTATTTTAAAGAATTTACCGAATTTATTTAATAAAAATCAGAGTTATTTTTTTTTCTTTAAATCCAAATCAATACATTTATCGAGAAACGGGCGCTACTTACTAACCACAGCAAATGAACACATCAAATCAATCAATCCAAAGAACCTACACATGCTTGAGCTATCAAAATAAACAATCTCATAAATCTCAAAATCATTCCCAAACGTCTAGCATGAATCAAGGTTCAAACAAAACTCAAACATAGTTCGAAGGCGAACAAATAAATAGTCCAAAGTATTTGAAAGCAATTAAATAAGCAACAAGTTCATGCGGAAGCATAAGATATCATCAAACAGTGACCACCATCTCGCTCGTCCTACGCCACCGCCTCCAACTCGTCTCAACCTAGATCAAAGGAAGAGAGAAAACAACAAGAAAATAATGGGGGTGAGCAACCAACTAGCTCACCATTATCGCACAGTTATCCCGTATAAATATTTTAAAAACAATATCACAGTAAACATTATCAGTATCCGTATGCATAGAATTCATAGCCTAAACCCCCTACCCGGCCCTATCGCAAACCTCCTATGTACATACAACAACCTTCCAACCAAACATCGGCAAGGCCGTAACTGAAAAATTTCCCCCACCCCGAACTACTCACGGATCATGGATGTTTTCCAGGAGACAGTGGAGATGTTCCCCCCCGAGGGCGTCTCCTCCCGGATACAACGGGCAGGTGACCTCTCACTGTTATGCATTCGTCAAAGGCACTATCGTTCGGGACACTTAGACTAGAGTTCTCATGCATACAATTATTTTCAAAAGAAAACATTACACGAAATAATGAGTGCAATAAATATGGAATACATCATAAATGTATCCACCTGAGAGCAGCAACAGTTCAAATCAAAAATCTCGAGATGAGGCGAGGTCACCACCTCTAGGCACCTACATTAAGTTCAGATACTAAAGTCAACACTTTAATCTAGGCCTATGTAGAAAATTCACAAATTGACTTAGCCGAACTCGGTTCGACCAAGTGGTTCGTGAAGTTTTGTGGATATGGGAACACTAGGACTTTGACTCGATCAAACCACACGTTCAAGTTCACATAAATGCAAGTGAAAGACAGACAAACGAGCCACAAGTAAACACATGGCACATTTGTCAACAACACTTAACAAATTTCAATATAGAAAAATAATTTCTCAAATTCACACTTGAATTAGAAGGTGTATCAAATCAATGAGTTAGGTTCTAAAACTTTTACATAAATTTCACATCCCAGTTCTAAGTAAGATCACCCAATTTCAGCTTCAAACTCCTTATGCATAATTTTATAAAATTCAAACAAGTTTTTCAACAAAAACGAGTTTAAATTAAAAGCACATGATAATGGACGATTTAGGTTATGAAATTTTTATCTAAAATACTAAAGCATGTGAACAGTAACACATAAATATATCAGCCTTCAACACTCAGTATATCAATTTATAAAAATAAAACATTCAGTCAAATATCGCAATTATATCAAAACTGATTGCAACTGAACTCCAAAAATTCTAAACTTTTTACAGCATGTTAAACATCACATAATAAGCACCTCCACAAATTTTTAGAATTTTTCAGCTTCAGAAAAATTTACTATAATTAAAACAAATTCGGGGAGAAACATAAATTAAATCATTAACCATATCAAACCTAGTCTAAAAATTCGAAAACTTTTATACAACATAAAATCATGCCTGAGACATCACATACTCAAAAATTGGCCAAAAAGGAGCACTACACAATTAATTATGAATTTTACAAGAAATTGAACAGAAATCAAAATAATTTTTTAAAAATAGTTCCTGACCTTCACAAATCATGAAAATTTTACAGCAGCTACATATTCATAAAAAACAGCTGCTCCTAAAATTTCAAGGCAATCGGACTAATATTCAATTTATAGTGAATTTTTTATTCCAAACAACCAATATAAACTTTGAAAATTCCTAACGGCAAATATACACCTCCAATCGACACAAGGTCAGCGCCATTGTGTTCGAAATAATTCTAAGTTCCTAAATCCACAGCAACTAATCACGCACGACCAGTTCTCGCTCGATTCGCACGAATCGACGAGTTACACATCAAAATTACGACAATATAATATAATGAACGATAATATCACATAAAATCATATCGCTTCCCCAGATATCATATCGAACACAATCGCACAATAATCGTACATCAAATCGCAAAAGCACATCACGTCATTTAAACACGATAAGCAATTAACATAAAAACGATTTAAACGAGACGAGATCGACTAGGTACCGTTCTAAGAAAAAATCGAAAAACGGAACGAAAGAGAAGGCGAGCTCGTGGCAAGCTCGACGGCAAGCGTTGTCTCGCGAAGAAGGGTCGTCGCTGCTGCTGGTCTCGTCCGGAGGTCGCTGCTCGTCGGGACGGTCATCGGAATCACAGGTTCACGGCGAGGGGAGCGAGCGACGGGCTGCTGTTGGCTCACGGCGAGTTGCGGCTGAGGAGCTTCTCACAGCGAGGAGGAGTTGCTGAAGTTGCTGCGCGTGAACAGAGAGTCGCCGGAGGATCTTGCTGGTCACGGTGGGAGGCCTGCGCACGGAGGAGGAGCGGCGGTGGTCGCTCGCTGGAGTTGCTGCCTCGGAGAGGAGAGGTCGTCGGGCCTTCTCACGGACAGCAACGACATCTCTATTTCAGCGGCGGAGGAGAGGGACTCGCCGGAAGAGATCGCGAGGGCCTGACAGCAGGAACTGCTCCTTGTCGGGTTGAGCAGCGGCGACCGAAGGGAAGGAGGTGGGCGGCGATCGGAAACACGACGGAGGAAGATGGTGGCGCGAAGGAAAAATCGCAGAGAACAGGTGATGGCGCGATCGGATTTTCACGCCGAGAAGGGTTCAGCGGCAAGGGTGATCGAATATGGAGGTGAGATGCGGTGAAGATGGTGATGAGGGAATCAGATTTGATGAGATTTCTTCTCTGTGTTCGATCGCGCGAGGGGTGAGAGAAAACAAGACGATGGGATTGAACAGACTTGATAAAAGCTGCGGGTAGGAGATTAGGGAGGCGTACATGATCTGTATATAAATATCCTAGTCTAGGTTTGACTTGTCTTATAGCACAAGCATAATTAAAAAAAAAAATGCACACACAAAGATCCAAAAGGGATAAAACCGGGTGTTGGGCCATTGGGCTGGTTCACGACAATAAATCGGCTTACGGGCTCGGTTTTGGTTCACGCGGGCATTTTCGGGCTCGATTAAATTGCACGGTTAAATAAATACAACTCGGATAAAATATTTTTACACATTACGGAAATAAATTTCAATTAGACAATTAGTAATATTTGGACTCTCAATAATAATGAGTATAATACTAATAACAATAATAATAACACAATTACACATTTAGGCAATTAATTGTAATTAGAAAATTAATAATATTTATACATTTAATAAATAATAATAATAATAACAATAATAATAATAATAATAATAATAATAATAATAATAATAATAATAATAATAATCCACAATATAAAAATCACAATTAAATGGGGCATTACAGCAGTCCAACAGGTGGCACGATCTACATCTTGGAGGATTCGTGTAAGTCCTGATGGTAATAGGGGAATGCATAATCATGCATTAATTGTATATCCTGAGGGTTATCGACAGATGAGCGAACTTAGCGCTTCATCTAAACATATTGTACGTGATATGACAGCCGCTTAGGCAAAACCGACATTAATTTTGCTTTGATCCAGGAAAAAAACCTGGAAGACAACGCTACTCGGCGACATGTGTATAACTATAGAGATCAATTGTGGAGAGATAGTTTCGAGGGTAGAGATATG